TTTGTTTTTTTTTATCGAAGTTTTTCTACTGACATTAAAATTTGTCTTTCCAAATTTTCTGTGTAGTATTCAGATAAAATAAAATTAAACGCTTAAGTTAAAACAGAGAAACAAAGAGAAGTAGACTGTCCATACTACGAGGCGTAAAAGTTAATAGCTTGACTATGAATGAGTCATACTACTACTGGGAAATCTTGCATGAATTAATTTCAACTCTTCTTATTAATAAATGCATTGTTTCTTTTCAGGTAATAAGTGCTTAACTGGGACATAAAATGGGTTGTAAACTTTAACGTCACCAGAACAAAACTGCTTTCATTTAACCACGACAGATAACATTTTTGCCTACCATCAACATGGCTGACGCTAGATTCCTGGAGAGCAACACACTGCGCCTTATTGGCTTCACGTTTTCCACTGACTTGAAGTGGAGCGACTACATCGAATCAATGGCTGCATCTACTGCAAGGAAATTCACTCTGTTCACTGTGTCGTGCCAAAAGATTTTTCGCGCCAGAATCCATCTTGCACATTTACTAATCTACCATTCGTTCGTGCATTGAAAACTGTTGCCATATCTGGTCTGGTGATCCTGCTGTACGTCTTGAGATTCTTGAAAAAATTCAAAGAAGGATCTGCAATGTAATCGATCCTGATCAGACATCTTGACTTCATTCACTTTCTCACCGACGTAACGTGGCTTCTACAAATATTTTCATGGTAACTGCCCCGACGGACTTTTTCCCTTGGTGTCCCGGCCATATGAATTTAAGCGTACTTGTAGATTGGCATCTAGGTCTCACCCTTTTACTGTTAAATGCAACCACCAACAGTCTTTTTTCTCACACTTCCAACTTGTGGAACTCCCTTCCGTTTACTTGCTTCTATGATGACTACAAACTTAAAAAATTAAATGCAACATCAGTCGCCATCTTCTGTCTTCTTGAATCCCGTTCAACTTTTGTCCTTTCCTTAGTCCTCCCTATTCTCAGCCTGCTCTTACACTTACCCTTCCTGTAATCCCCTGCGTACTAGTGACATTCCCACTTAGCTTGGAGCGAAATCATTAAAGAAAAACAACAAACAAAGAAATTACTGATATCTGACTGTTCAATGAAGACTTCAATAGCAACTAGTAGCGACTTCTCTTGACAATGGACAAAAATTTGGTATTGTGGTGTTATCAAGTACTCACAGAAAAAGGATTTAACACGCAAGGTTGTTCATGCTGACACAACTGCTACATTTGGGGATGATGCGACAGCTTTATCAACAGTGCAAAATTGGGTAGCTGGATTTAGGAGAGGAAAGGAGAGACTTGAATATGACTCAATTTCTGGACACCATGCAGCTGTGACCGCCGAGACAAACATTTATCGTATTACCCATATGGTGTTGGATGACAGGCGATTGAATATAAATCAAATAGCCAATGCTATTTGTATGTCCCGCGAGAGAGTTGATAATATTCTGAACAATGAATTGGCATGATGAAGGTTTCTAATCAGTGGCTGCCACGTCTGACATCTGATCAAAAGAGCACAGGTTAAACAGATCACAGGAAACTCTGACATTATTTGAAGCATATCTATCTGGTTTCCTTGAACGTTTTCTAACCCGGTATGAGTGTTAGGTTCATCACTTTGAGCCAGAGACAAAGAGACAATCCATGCAGTGAAAACACCCCTCCTTACCTGCTCCAAAGTAGGCTAAAGTCGTTTCATCTGCAGGGAAGGTGATGGTCTCAGCTTTATGGGATTCAAAAGGGCCACACCATCAATGGAGAGTGTTATACACCATTATTGAGGCAGTTACGAAAGGCTATCGAGACCAAACGCCCAAGTAAACAGACAAAAGGGTTCTTGTTTCATTAGAACAATGCTCCAGCACATAAGTCCTTGGTTTCAATTGTTGCTGTGCGAGACTGTGGCTTTGAACTGGTTGTTTCTCTTTTTATGTGCCGTGTCCTTCCAGGACGTAGGCGATCATGGCTCTCCACTTACCCCTGTCCCTTGTAGGTCTCAATGAGTTTCGTGCCTCTATCAACTCCCCCAGACCACGTTCCGCCATCCACTTGCTTAAGCCCGTCAGGTATGTCATGCGTTGCTTTCCCTTGTCTCTTTTCTCCTCTTGCCGACCTGTGGGTATCAAATTCTCCAGGCCCTTCTTTCTGATTACGCGTCCCAGGAATTTCATCTGTCTTTTCCTGATGTCAAGTATAAGCTTCCTCCTTGTTTGCATCCTCTCCAAGACCTCATCGTTGCTCACACGCTCGCTCCATGTTATCCTTAGCATCCTTCTGTAGAACCGCATCTCCGCTGCCTCGAGTTTCTTCTTCATCTTTGAGGAGGCCGTCCATCATTTGCTGCCGCCCGATTTGATTCAATCTGGCTATCATTTTTTCCTTAACGTGAAAAAACTTAGCAAGGAACCAATATCGCAGTGATGATGACGACATATCTGCTGTTGATAAACTTTTTTGACCAATAAGATGAAAGCTTCTTCAACAATATGATCCAATACTGCGACATCGATAGAAGACGTGTGCGGATCGTAAGGAGGACTATGTTGGAAAATAAACCTCATTTTGTTACATTCCCTGAGAGTACCATGTTCAGCCTATGAACTTTTCAGCAGACCCTCATAAACATGAAGTAAAAATATCTCTATAAAATAGAAATTTGGATCAAACTGATGGGATACATAAAGTACCAAATATCACATAGAGTACCAATATAATTATTACATAACTGATATATAAGAGTACAACATATCTAAGTTTTGAATATTACATCGAAGAGAACATGCACGAGATCGCTTTTTCATATTAAACACAGTGGCTTCCACACAACTGTGGAACTAAAAGAAAACATCCGTAGAGAGATCACAATCATTTCAGTTGATATGTTAAGTTGCACTGTGTTTGTATTCGACATATGTAGTGTAAGCCGTCTTGATAATGTTGTTGTTGTGAAGACAACATATATACATTATATTATTCCTCAAATAACCCTCATACCATAATACTTCCTCAAATAACTCAAACATATCAACCTAATATACCGCAATCAAATACATTCTAACTACAAACAAGATGAAAAAAAACTCATAAGCACTAATATATTCCCCACTGATCCCAGAAAAAAAATGAAATTAATGATATACTATACTAAATTTAATACAACCAACTTAATTATTTACACTATTCGGACTATTGTCCTCATCTTTGTCGCCATATTTATTAAAATGTTTCAGCCGTTGTACGCTCCGGCTATCTTCAGGTGTTTGAAATGTCGAACTGAACCCTTTATTTCGCTCACTGGGGTATATAGTTCCACGTGCCAATGTCGTTGCTTTCGATTTTACACGAATACCATTTGAAAAAGAACGATTGTATTTCTTCACCATGCAAATAATGTCTGAATCTAAATCCGGTTGTTTGGGGGTGGGGTAATACTTCCACTTCCAAAAGCTCCACTTGCTACATAACGCAATGCAGCAAGACCTAGCGGGATTATTTTTGCATCATATTTAGGCTATTGTTTACCCAGTACAAGGTACAAAAGTGGGTTACGGAATGATGTTGTTGGAGAGAAGTAAGAAATGCAGAATATGAACATATCTATAATAGATAACATGTGTCTGTAGACTTGACGAGCTTAAGATCATAGCGATCGGGAAACCTCCTTTCGGGAGCCTGTTGCACTAATTAACTGTCTGACTGGAACTTCCTCCTTAGCAACGGAATAAAAACAGAATGTGTACGCGACATAGAGGCTCTTAAGATGTAAAAGTTGAAATTGTTTACATTATTCGGACTATTGTCCTCATCTTTGTCGCTATATTTGTTTCAACGTTTCTTCAGGTGGTTGTAATGTCGAACTTAACCCTTTATTTCCGCTCACTGGGGTAGACTGTTCTAGTTCCACGTACCATGTTTAATGGATGTCAGTTATCAGTTATCTCTTGTTAATTTCCCTCTGAAAGTTCTCCACTGCCTTAATCGGGTATTGAACTCACACTCTTTGGGTCCTGTCACTGGATCTAACTAACGCGTTTATCCACTGTGCCATGTGTGCTTAGTTGTAATAAATATGGCGACAAAGATAAGGACAATAGTCCGAATAATGTAAATAATGAACATATAACCTCATCTTAGAAATATAGGCAGATACTGAACCAACTTAATCATCCGCAATAACTCTTCTCAGTCAGCATTTTGCAAAATACCAACATTGTATATCAATTTAAATGTCCTTTGGAAAATTGTATGCATGATAAAATTAAATATCTTGGCTTCACGACAACAACATTATCAAGACGGCTTACACTACATATATCGAATACAATATCTATCGCACAACTTTTAAAGACACATTCCTGCCCACCTCCACAATTCCGAAAAATACTAATTGATAACACGAGTATACTCCACCATGAAAATAATAAAAAAATTCAAATTCTCCAGGCTCTCTATATAAAGAACAAACAACCAACACTAAATAAGTTTAGTTATGAGAATAACAACGATGTTATAAAATGTTTATAATAGCAATGTTTTAAAATGTTTAAAATTATAATTAGACAAATTAAAGTTACCTCCTTTAGATTAAAAAGATGGAAAAAATGTCATAGCTTTAACAGCTAATTTTAAATTAATTATAACACAGCGCGTTGGTGCGTGTTTAAAATAATTACAACAGAGCGCGTTACATGCGTATTTACAAAAAATCACAACTATCGATTACATTAAGTTTTTGCACTGGCAAATCACGCTTGAAGATAATCTAGGATGAGATTGAAAGTAGTTGGGAAAATAAAAATAAAAATAAAAGAAAATAAAAAAACTACGGCGCCTTCCTTAATGAATTTGAAATCAACATTAAGAAGTAGATCAGAGAATTCGAGAGTTTAAAATGAAAAAGACATATTTATGTCAAGATTATTCAATCAAACATGCTTGAATATATATATATATATATATATAGATAGATAGATAGTCATAGAGAAAGTGAAACAGAGTGAAAGAAAGCGAGAGAAAGAGAATCAGTGCGAGAGAGAAAGAGAGAGGGAGAGAGAGAAACAAACAGATAGACGAATAGGCAAACAGAAATAAGTGAACGGCACTTGACCACTGACAAAGAAACTTTTATTTTCACAATGAACGTTGATATGTTTCTGTTGGCGTAAAGAAATCCCTTAATAAAGAAAGCATTAAAATATGACATAAGCATATATAAACACACATATACCCATATATATATATATATATATATATATATATATATATATGTGTGTGTGTGTGTGTGTGTGTGTGTGTGTGTGTACGTTTGTAAGTGTGTGCGTGTAGAATTTATAAATGACATAATATGATTTATATGCACATAATATGTATATAATAACATATAGTTACTGCGTATAAACAATATTATGTTATATATATCCTGTATAGAAATAACAGGAGATATTTGTGCCAGAGTGGTATCATACATTTCGAAATCAATCGTATTGACCGGCTAAGACACGAAAGACAACGGCGAAAAGCGTCAGCAAATATTGCACTTACTATGTCCCAAGATCCTCGCTGTTGCACAATATGTGGTTTAGTATGCAGGTCAGTAGCAAGAATGAAGTGTCACATACGACACAAACATAAAAGATGAATGAAGTTGTCGTCGGATCTTTATACGTTGAAATCGACGGGAGAGTTCATCATTATATATATATATATATATATATATATATATATATACACCAAATTAATGAATGTAGTGATGAAGAATAGAAAGAATTAAAATGATAACAATAATGGTATGAACAATAACGTTCAATGAAATACAAAGATTTAAATAAATTTCAATAATTTGTTAGAACGTTATTTCCTCCATTTTTTTTTGTTTGGGATTTTCACAGTTGTTCATAAAATTTTCTTTGCAAAAATATTCAAAATGAGAAATGAATCTATTTTTGTTTGTTATGTTTTAAATCTGATGTTGATGGATCTGATATTGATTTTATTGATTAACAATTAAAAAAATGACAAAAAAACAAATAAATGCATACAATCAGACAGGCCATTTTTGGGGAAGTGTTAAAATTAAACTGAATTTTTTTTTGTATCAAGTAATGGAAAAAAAAAAGTGTCTTTTGTAATTTTTTTTTGTTTTATTATTTCCTACCGAAATGTGTCGCATATTTTTAACGTTTTCCTTTGAGCAAATATTTATTGTTTTCTTTTTCATTTTCTATATTTTTCGAAAGTTTTCTTTTGTCACTTTGTGGCCACCATAGAAGATAAAAATGAAAACCATTGTTTGGAAAATACTTACTTTTGTCTGTCGACAGATATAACATGAAGCCAATGTGAAGTGGAATATGGGAGAAAAAAAGAAGATAAAAACTAAAAAAAAAACAAAACAAAAATAAATAAATAATTCATCAAACATAACAAGTATTAGACAACCTTCTGTTATTAACATCAAAATTCCGACAAACTGTTGCTCTCTCGAAATGTCGTCTGGACCTGCATGTTTCGGAGTACGTGACTTGTGTTTTCTATTGTATTGTGGGTATAATGCTTCCGGCATGTGAGTAGAGTTTTAAACGCGAACCGGAAGTCCCTAGAGAAGAGCGCGTATATACAAGGGTTGAGCGCCGAGTTAAAATAACCGAGCCAGAAGAATATGGAAAATACCAGTGGTGGGATGCAGTCTATGCAAAAGGCTTCTACCAAGTACATGGTAAAGAATGGAAGCCAACAAAGAATAAATACCCCAACGATGATGGCAAGGGTTTTGGCTGCTTTTGTTTCTCTCCTAAATTTGCTGCGATGAGTCTTTGGATTTTTTCTCACAACTTTGAAATTGAAAGCCCCCGAGCGCCTCCGAGCCTGTTCGTCAGGTGCGACTAACCCTACCTTTTGCCCCTTATCGTCCAAATGGTTGCTGTCATCGTTAGCGGCATAGCTGGGTTTATTTGGTTCTACAATGTCGCTACCACTGGATAAGGATGCTGTGTCGGCCGACGGATTTTTACAGATTTGGCCGCTAGGTGTGGTCACATTCAAACCTATCGGACAGGGTGATTGTTGCTTCGATGCGTGGAATCTTTTAAACGTATGCACATAGCCGTGTCTGTTGGTGGAGCTGCTGCATATTTTCTCAGTTTTAGATTGATAGCTTTTTTTCTGTTTTGATTTGTTCTTTTTGTGCGAGATCTCTTGTGAATACGTTTTACAAGCTTTGTTCAGGCGTATTCTACCCATGTCTGCGTGCATCTCCCTTTCGGTTTCTTTTCGTTTTTTGTCTTTCCAGCTCGGCTTCCCATACGCTCGGCCTCGATGAACTCGTAGGGTAATTGATACATTGTTTGAAAGGTTCTCACCTTCCGTCTTCGTTGTCAGCGTGCCTTTTCGCAGCGCCTCTGCTGTCTCCACAGCTGTTTTGTAAATGCGCAGGTAGAAAAAGGCCATTACGCACATTGGAAAGTAGAACGATCCTATAGATGCATAGATACGATATCCTTTCGACGAGGTAAGCTCGCATGACAAATACGATAGATCTGTACAGTTCTTTGGTTTGTGTGAGTCAACAATATATGGTACATCGTTGGGTTCCCCTTCACCGGGATTGTACTCATAGACTTCAGACATAACAGCAATTTGATCACTACTATTAACTAGATCATAACCAGTGAGAATGTCCACAGTGGAATTGACTGGTCCATTAAGTTGATCGTCATTAGAACCCCAGTTGAGCAAAGGAGGTAGACAGACAATGAAAGCAAACACCCAAACGCCGGCAATCAGGCACTTGGCTCTTCGCCGAGACATGAGGCTCGGGTATCGCATCGGGTGGGTGATGGCGATATATCGATCGAGGCTGATAGCCACCAGGTTAAGAATAGAGGCCGTGCACAGCCAGACGTCGATGGCCAGGTACATGACGCACCAGATGCGCCCAAATACCCAAACATGTAGCACTTCAAGCATGGTCGAGAAGGGTAGAATGGTAATGCCGAGGAAGAGATCAGCAAAGGCTAACGACACTATGAACAGGTTGGTAACTGAGCGGAGTTTCTTCGACTTTGCCACTGCCAGGATGACCAGTGTGTTGCCTCCAATCACAAGTATATTAATGCTCAGCAGAACGATCAAGGAGACGACAAATTTCACGTTGTTGGTGTCGGCCCAAAGGTCATCCGCCGTCAAACAGTCAGCGGCGTCCTCCATTTTATAATCCTTGGCCAATTTAGGTTGTACCTCCAAAGTTCATAACGAGTTAAGGAAATGATGCGGTAATCTTGGAACTTTGCAGATCAAATGGAAAAAACATATCATGTAACTTGCTTTAGAAATTGGGAGACATTTTTTCTAAAGCAAACAAGGAAGAAGGACGATAACTCTTAATGAAATTTGTACAGTCATTTGGAATGGTTTTAGATCATTGTTTTTGTTTGGAATTTAACAAAGGTTTGGTTTGCTGCTAAAGCTTCAACTAAAAAAGAACGTAGAAACAAAATTAATAAATACGTTATTTTATTATTATTATTTTCGTGTTAATAAATTTAGCTTTTCCCACTAGAGCGTATAAATCGCTGGTGTATGTATCTTCATAATGCCTTACTAAATTAAAATTCAACTGAGAGTTGAATACATAACGCTTGTTGCGTTTGTTTGGCATTGTTCGCTGTTGGGAGTTGAACATTTTAAAAAAATTAGTTTAATTTAATTTAATTCTCCCTGAAGTATATGATTGAATATTTAAAAGATAAAAAGGAAAACAAAATTATTGAAGATGTTTGAGGGTATTTTGAAATCTGATTGTCTTGCGCTGTGGCATGCGAAACTCTTAAAGCAGATGATCCGTCCTCTTATATGAATTTCCAAAGTGTAAAACTTTAAAACGCTTTCCTGATTTATTCACCAATGGCTGGTAAATATTTAAGGCGACTGAGATTTTCCATTGTTGATTGTCATTGTAATTTAAGAATTTGTGTCTGTTTGAGTGTATGTTTATCAGGGGAGATAATTTGTATATCACAAAATAGGACGTATTTAAACAGAATCGAATTTTAATACAGTCACAGATCGCAGCAACAAGAATACGATGAACGATGAATAGATAAAAACGTCGATGTTCTATGTTATTATATGCTTTAATTATGGAAATGTTTGATAAATTATCAGGAATGATATGACAATGTTACCTGCAACAGCGCTAGTTTCGTATGATATACAGCTTCTCCATTTTTATTAGCATTATTTCGAAATGATTGATTGCTGCTTCACCATCAAATAAAGCACGTTTATTGCTGTTTCATTTACACATGAGAAATATGGAAGTCATTTTGAATCATAACACGCGTAGCTGTATCAACTTTAAAGGATGAAAAACTCATAGGTTTTTCTTTAGTATATTATTGCATATTTTAATTCGGAAAATGGCAAATCTGCTGTAAGTGAGGTGTTGTTAAGATCAGGCATATGTATTTCCAGCATCAAATTTACGATGATGTAAGTGAAATTTAAACGATAATGTAGGAACATAGAACAGAGGGAAGAAAGTTTCCAGTTTCGAAAACGCATTTTAAAAGAATAAGGAAAGAAAAGCCCACTATTTGATAAATAGTGAATGAAAACAGTTTTGAAAGTAAAATTTCGCATGTTTTATTCATGAACGTGTTTATGTGCGCCTTTGTCAGTGAGTGTTTCTCTGCAGATGTGTTCTTCCGGATGATTAAGTCGTAAAAAGGAAAAAAAAAGCAGAAGGACAAGGAAAGGGAGGAAGAGAAAGAGGACGAGAAGAAGTCGCTATTGAGGCGTTTATTTCTTTTTCTTCTTGTAAATATTCAATCTTTCAACACATGACTGATCTCTTTTAAGTGTTTGTTGAGTCAAGCCATGCGCAATGCTTTGACAATGCTGTGTGGCTTCGAAGTGCAACATTTTGGCCGATTTTCTGACAATAAAGACGCTTTGTTCTCTGGCATTTATGGGTCTGAAAATAAAGAGGAAAAGAAAAAGAAATTAGCTATGTTTTGAAAAATAATGTCAGAATGAGTCAATACATAGCTACGTATAAAACTGTAAAGCCAATAACCCCAGCCAAAACAACAAAATAACTAAGAGATGTAAAGAATATCGTGAACAGGGCTTGCAAATGTCATCCTTTTTTTTTGCATTCAGTCATTTCAGTCTAATGTGTTATACATCCACACTCCAGTGTTCATATTGACAAAAGCAGTTACCCCCAAGACACCATTCTAGAAAATGTGTTATTTTACGTTTTTACGTCAGGATAAGAAGTAGGGTGATTGAATTTTTACATCATAGTCGTCTCTTTCCCGCCATTCGTTCTATAAATGTGTAGCGACATCAGTTGTCAGCTGATGTCTTGCTAAGGACATCTGCAAAATGTTATAGAAATCGTTTTGACACTTCACAAAAGAAAACAGCTGATTGAAGTGGACCTCACAAGAACTATGTCAAACGACCCTGACAAAGAAGGCCAGCTCAGTGAAGCGGACTTGATAAATGTTTTAAATGAAAGCTGACAGGATAAAGAACGCTTGTTTTCTACAAGACAGTGGTCCCTAGCAGCTTAAGAGAAAGGACCACACACCCGCGAGGCGAAAAGGAAGACACACAGTGGTTAGTTTTGCTCACTCACCACGTCTTACTTTTCCTCTCTTTCGAGGGTTAAGAATAAATAAAATTTGCCGACTGCTACAATTGCGTCTAGTGGTTTTATTTTGGCGTAACGATCCGACCAAAACGATTATTTTTCATGCATTAAGTCACAAGCGTTCGATTAAAAGAAGCTTCACACTGAGAACGAACCTGGTGTTTGTTCTGAGCTGAACGCTACAAATGTCTAGCCCATAACTGCTTGTCTTGCAGTAGGCTCCCACGTGATAAAATTCCTCTAGTTGCGATAAAATCTTTGAAACTTTAATATAGGTTTTATTTCAAGTATGATCATATCCATTTTCCCAGGCAAAATCACCCATAGTTTTGTCAATGGCATTTTTGATATATACAGTGATACACTGCCTAGTAATTTTGTAAATTCATTCAAATTCTTTTTTTTTCTTTGAGTTCATTTGAATTCTGCAGTTGTTGAATCATTCTACCAAACGACATATATATTTAATCCTTTCATCCCAAGCAAGGTGACTGCAACTAGACCACAGAGGGTTACAGGGAGTGAAAGAGAATGAGGTGATTAAAAATGGTGAAGATTGAAGAAAGGACAACAAAAGAAACAGGCATCAAGAAGACAGATGGCGAATGACTTTGCATTTAAATTTTTGAAGATTGTGGATATCAGGAAAGCAAGAAATTGAAAGGTTGGAAGTGCGAGAAAAAAACTGTCAGGGTAGGAGAGACGGTTGCATTTAGCTTGTTCAAGAGCAAAACGGTGAGACCTAGCTGCTGAGAAATGGTTAGATCCTGATATAATGGAATATGCATATACACCTGTGTTCCTCCTCACTGGAATATGATTGGCTGGTGTCCATCATAAATATCGACGGATGTGTAGGTACGACAGAGTCAAGAGCCTTAGTCTGAAAGCTAAGTCTATAACGACGCCCATTAGACTACGCCATTGATCTACACTTCTTACCTGCGACTACGAAGCGTACCAGTCGATTACTGCTACCGTATTCTACTTGGTAATAGTAGCCAAAACCACTATTTCGTTCAAATATATCCCTTTCCGGGACATATCAGATCCTTTACGTTGTATCTTGATGGAGGAGCTACATTTGTGTATCTTTTACTACTTCCCTCTCAATACAAGGCATAAGAGCCACTAAAGGTAGAGTGTTGTTGAATGAAATTGTTTTATAAGCGTAAGAGGAATAGGTAAGAAGTGCATTTTATGAGGATAGGTAGGAAATATAAAAGTTAATCCTAAATTTGAAGAGGTTAAGATTGTTGTGAGTGGGAATGCATTCCCCCAAGCGATTCTTGAGAAGAAGCTGTCCGAATGTAACTTCCTCTTTACTAATGCAATAAGAAGGAAATGAGGATGATTCGTCCCAGTGTACCTGATATGAAAAGTCTTACCTGTGAAGTTCAGTACTATTGGAATTAAGCTCTTCGGAACATTTGCCAAGGAAATAACAACATGGTAACGAGAGTTTTGCGATGTTTCGTCTGCGGTAAAGAGGTTATAGGTCGCAAAATAATTCATCACCTATAGGTTCGCGTAGACGCTCTTGAATTCTATCAAGACAGGTAAGTGAGGACTGTGCCGCTTCAGGCCAGATATGATGTGACTCTTGTAAAGGATCCATATCAGCTTCATGAAACAATAAGATTTTCGAGCTCGGACAAAATATCCAGAATTTTTTTTGGGGGGTGGGGGGTTACATTCGTCTTCAATATAAATGTGGGCACAGAAGTAGCTATTGACAACACTTGTTTGTCACTTACACGCTTTCGATCCCCTGAACGCTCGAGAAGGAAAGAACATTTGTTATGAATATTAAATGGAATATTAAAAAGAAGGGTTGACAAATTGACTGTGTCTACTTATGGTCAAGATGTTATCTCATCCCTCATTGGACAAAGTAAAGCTCATCGAAATGCACTTTACCCCGAACTAGACGATCAGAGTCATCCCCTAGCTGACTTCTTTCCTCTCACGGCGCACGAACGTAATCTAAAACTCCTTGACCCTGAAATTTCAAAACCTTTGATACAACTAAGGCTACTGAACTGCATAAAATCTTTGCGCTTGTCCTTTAAACATTTAGCACAGAGCTAACTCCAATCTCAGAGTTGTATGACTGCTGCGTGAAGCAGAAATGTTTCCAAAATCTGTGGAAAATCTCAGCTTCTTGTTCTATTTTTACGAATGCTGTTGAGCTTCTATCTCACTTGCAATAACGCCCAATCAGCTTAGTGTCACTAGCTTTGAGTCTATTATCAACAAGAAGGTTATTGATCACTTCACCAAAAATAACTGTGTGAAAAATAAACAGTGTGGGTTTTCCTTCTCCAGTTTCACTGCTAATGATTTAACTACCATTACGTGTATAATCAGTGAAGCGCTCGATGATCGATTCATCACGAGAGCGATCTCAAAGGCTTTTCAAAAGGTGTGACATAGGAGTTCCTACACGAATTCCTCAGCTATGATAGATCTTGAAGAGTCTACGCAATTATCAATTCCTTTCTCTGAGGTTGGTCCCTGAAGGTCGTTATGAAATACCCGTCTT